TAAATCTCTGATATTTCTAATATGTTCATTTCCTATTGTGTCGGCAAGATTACCACTTTATAGTATGTTTAATTTCGAAATAGAAAAGTATGCTCCCTATATAGTTGTCACCGGAGTTCTTTTATTAATATTTATTCCAATACATGAGAAACTTAAAAAGTTAAAAAGGATAATTTATTCAATGCTAGGTATATTCACATCATTAGTTTTTCCACCTTTATTCTTTTATATAATGCAAGGCCTTAACTTATTCGTAATAGTTTTGATAGCTTTTTGTTGTTCAATTTTAGCGAGTTGGATAGTATTATGGCTAATTTATAAATGTACAAAAAATAAGCAAATAACAAATATTGTTTCTGGAATTTTATCAATTCTCATCTTTTGTATTTTTCCACCTTTATTTTCATATGCATTTGATGGCCTTAGCAAGTTAACAATACTTATGGCAGCTTTTACTTGGACATTCATCGCGTTATTTGTAATATCACAGCTTATTTTAAGATGTGAGCCAGTGTTATGTCCTGTAATGGTTATTCCTTTTATGTTAATGTTTATAATTTTTATACCATTATTTGTTTATGTAACAGATAGTTTTAATAGTGTGTCAATACCTTATTTAGTCTTATTTGAATGTTACTTTTTAACTTTTATGATTGCAATGATTTTTCATTTCTGTTCTTTTAAACTGGGGTTTATATTTTGTTTGTCAATTTCTTGTTTAATATTCTTAGCAATTTTTATTTATGCTTTAGTACTTATAATTAATTATTTAATTAAGAATGGTTTAAATACTCTTTATATTATAATTATAGTTGTTAATTTTGTGGTAGGAAGTTGTATTAGTATCTGTGGACCTACGTTAGGCTATGTCGTAGCTGGACTTGATTATTATATGTTTTTTTATGTATTTCAGGACAAAATCGATCCAGTTTCACTTTTACTTTTCTGGTCTGATTTATGGATTACATTAGTTTCTATTTATTTTTACTGGGATGCATTTTTAAATGGTGAAGAACAAGAAGAGCAAGAAGAACAAGAATTTGATCTTCAAGATTTCTTGCCAGATTAGGTTGTTTAAAAACGAGACTTATAATATCTTTTCCTAAACAAGGCTCGAAGGTATATTTAGGGAGTAAATATATAAAAATATTATTTTTTAAAATAATGGGCAAGATCATAAGAATGTCAATACTTTCATTTTAAAAAAATTATTATAACATTTTTAAAAAGCCAAAGCACTATTTATTGTTCAGTTTACAGTATTAAGCTTATATTAATAAATTAAAACGTTCATATAAATTTTTAGAGTTTGACAATTACACCAAACAAAAGTGGGTCATAGGATAGTAGAAACTTAAGGCTCTGTAAGTGCCGGCATGTGCACTATTGAAACATAATGCTAGGCACGGGAGTGGGTAGCAAATTCTTTGTAAAATAGTGTATTGACTTTTAAAATTTAGTGAGAATCTTTAACATGCAAATCTATGATTTTCTAAAAATTATGTTAGTCTATTAGTAATCAAATCCTATTAAAGATTAATATTATCTGTGTTTTCGAACTTGTTTAAATATTTAAGGCTATTTTCATCTGCAGAATTTGAAAATAGCCTTGAACATTGAAAATAAGCGGGTATTAGTAAGATTTCTTCGTTCAAAATTTATGAGAAGATAGTTAAAATTCGAAAATTTTTATTGTTTGGTCAATCAACAGAAAAATCTAATATAATAATGGACAGTATGCTCAGAGATTGGTATTCAACGAGGAATCTCTGGAAATATTATTTTCGGTAGCAACTTGCAAAAAATAAAATTTAAAGAAATTTTATAGATTCCTGCGTGATGGGTGACCATTTGATGATCACAATAATTTGAAAAGCGCAGTAATTTGAAAAGTGCAGTAATGTTTTGAAAAGACACCCGAATATAATTAGCAAAATCCCACGGTTTTTTTTTTTAAATTAGATCATGATACAATTATAAATACAAGTAATTTTGTATTTTGGCGCTAGTATTCTTAAAGATTCGCTAAGGTTGTAGAACCATTAATAGATAGTGCATGCAGATGGCGCAGGCAGCGCAGTTAGCGCAGTAGATTCAAAAAAACCCTTGATCTGCCCACCACTGGACACATGTAAAGTAAATAACATAAAATCCACATATTACTGTATTGTGTTGTAGAACTACGAATATGCGTACGGAGTAATGATGGGCAAATCGGTGTTTTTGCAAATTTCATGCGCATGGGAAAATTACTTAATAGTTTCGGAATATTTCGTTATAGCATTGAACAATTCCGAAATATTCCCATCACAAAGCACGTCTTTATATAGATCTATGTAAAATTTTTATGCAAAATTATGCAAAATTTCTATTAAATTTTATAAAAATTTTATAAACCAATGTAGATTTACAGTTATTTATATAAATCTATATATATTTTTATATAAAACTGTGTAACATTGCAAAAAATATCAAATTAAATATTAAAGCTAGAACTAGATTTTAAAGTTTAAATTAGAGGTTTGGAGAAGGTTTTCGATCACGGTGAACATTTTTACTTAGTGCACCGAGCGGTGATTACCTTAGTAACTTATAAGAAATGGCTAAAGTAAATTAAAATATTTTTATGCAGATAAAAAAAGAGCTTTATGATTTATCGCTATAGCGATGTATCGCTACCCGGATCTATGTCAAATCAAAATCTCGAAAATCAGAATCCCGAAACTTAATTGGGAACTCCCACAGCAAAAGCAGGGGTGGGACTGCATATTATACAGTCCCATCCCCTGCTTTTGCTGTGGGCGTCCCAATTGTCGCGTCGTGTGATGCCGGGGTTTCAACATTCAAACTCCGCTTATGATTAGTAATCTAAATTACCTAATCATAAGTGGAGTTTGAATATTGAAACCGACATCACACGACGCGACAACTAACTACCAGGGGAGTAGCGACACATCGCTATGGAGATAAAAAAAATTTATATTTATGTAAATGTTAAAATAAATTACATATAAAATGTTATTATATCAAGTAATATATAAATTTATATAAAAATTTTTTATATAAAAATTTTTTATATAAAAATTTTTATTTAAAAATTTTATATAACATTTATAAGTTTTTTTATAAAAATATACTTTGTGACACCGGAAATTCCGAATTATTCCCGCCCATCGCCAGTACGGAGGTACAATCAATCCGTATTGATTTGGTATAACAGATAATATTCCAAAAATTTAATATAAAATGGAGAAAAAGTGTGATTATCATGAAATAAAAAAATATTAAACTATATCCATTTCTTTTAACAACTTCTTTTGATATCTCTAAAAATGTATTTCTACTTAGCTACAATTGTTGCAATTATTGCTTACGTCTTATACAAGTTTTATATTTATCATTTATATTTGTCGCCATTGCGTAAAATTCCTGGTCCACCCGTTGATAATATTATTCTTGGAAATCATGCTTCTCCTCCTTTTTTAAATAAACAGCTAGGTGAAGCTTTTGTTCACTTAGTAAAACAATATGGTGGGATTGTTAGGTTTCATGGCTTATTAAATGAACCGAATCTATTAATTTCCGATCAAAAGCTTATTCAACAAGTACTGTCATCTTATGATTATCCAAAGTTTCAATTAAGCAAAACTATTGTTAAGGAAATTTTTGGAGAAGGTCTTGTAATTGCTGAAGGAAATTCTCATAAACGACAAAGAAAAGTGATGACCCCTTCATTTGCTTTTGCCAATGTTAAGGTATTCTTTTACAATCATCAGTAATACAAAATCTATTTTATATCTGATCATTATTTTAACATTTCAAATTTTAAGGAAATGGCACCAACATTCGTTCAAGCTGGCCATAAGTTAAAAGATATCTGGATAAAACAAATTGGTAATAAGGTAGAAGAAAGAATTACAGTTACAGAATTAATTCCAAAGATAACTTTAGATATTATTGGTCTCGTTGGTAAGCATTGTCGTTTTACATGTTAAATTTTACGTATAGATGACGCTTCTAATTATAATTACATTATTTTAATGTAAATAGGGTTCAATTACGAATTCAATTCTACTACTTCAGGATCTGAATTAGCTCAAGCGTATACATCAATAATTGGTCAAAATTATACACCTTTATACCTTTCTCTTCTTAGGTTCTTTCCGTTTATCAGAAATTTGCCAACCTCTTATAATAAACAATATTTTAAATCTATTAAAATTATCTCTAATATTTCCGAGAAAATAGTTGCTGAACAAAAAAATAGCCTTGTTCAAGGAACAGATTTATTGTCCTTAATAACAAAGGCAAATGATAGCTTGCCAGTTAATGATCAATTAACCCATAAAGAGTTAATTAGTCAGGTAATAATTTATTATATATAATTTTGGTAAATTTTATTTGAAATATGCATGTTATTTAAAAATATATAAAATATATAAAATATAAATTTATTAAATGGTAGGTTATGACATTAATCATTGCTGGACATGAGACCACTAGTAATGCACTATCTTTGACATTATATTTCCTCGCAAAATATCCTGATACTCAGGATCGACTTCGTAAAGAAGTGTCTGATGTATTAACTGATCGTAATTATTCTCCGACTGTTGATGAGATCGAACATTTGAAATACTTAGAATGTGTCTTTAAAGAAGCTATAAGGCTTATTCCACCTGGTATAGTTTTAATATCTTTTATATTTTGAGTTATTTTATTTATTTAACTTTATTTTATTCTCAAAATTTTTTTTTATTAAAGCGTCTGCAATCCTTCGTTATACCTCAAAAGATGAAATAATGAATGGTTACCTTGTTACAAAGGTATTTTTTCCCAAAACATCTCATGATTCATTTTATTTGATAATACAGTATATAAATTTAAAGCCTTTTCTTTTAGGATACTCCATTATGGATTCCTGTCTACGCAATTCATCATGATCCCTTAATTTGGGGAGATGATGCTGAAGATTTTAACCCATCTCGGTGGCTTGATCCGGAAGTGAAATCCAAAATAACACATACTAATTTCTTACCATTTGGTGCTGGTCCAAAAAGTTGTTTAGGTATGAAAATGGCTTATTTGGAATTTAAATGTCTTTTAGCTGTGATTATTAGAAATTTTGAGTTTAGATTGGTTGAAGGTTTTATCTTTAAAACTAAAATTGGTGGTGGTTTATCTAGACCTCTTCCTGGTATTGATTTATGGGTTTCAAATGTGAATTATTAATTCTTTTCTTAAAATATGATTGCTTAATTTTTATGGTTTAAACTGTATAAAAAATTTAAGAATTTTTAATTTTAAAGCAAGTTTATTTAATTTAAGCATCTTAGATATGTGTCTATAATCGTTAATGTAAAGTGAGCAAATAATTAATTGGGAACAACTTTTATATCGAACTTTAATCTTAATAAGATTTGTTACCTTTTCAGTTTTATTTAACCTCTGAGTTTTAGCACCCTTATAAGAAATCACTGCACGGTGTACGGAATTTTAAATACGAAATAGCACTAAATTACACGTAAATACTATATATACGTAAAAAGGCGCGCGGATTCTGTGTATTTTTATTTGTTTCCACCTATTTTTTACGTGTTGTCGCGTATACTTTTACGTGTAGTAACGTATATTGTATATTTTCTGCATATTCTTCTTTACAATTACGTATGGCTATGTGTTTAGATAATAATTATGTGCTTCTTCCGTGCCAAATTTCGCAGTAGTTGTACATTTCCGCGTACTGATTTCTAATAGGGCACATTAATGCGACTGATTAATCAAAACATAACAGGAGGAACGTCGACGTTAACGACTGATCCTTCACCCGGTGTGCAACAATACCAGATCATTCCGCTAGTACATGTTATGATTATAATCCAACACCATTTTATTATTATAAATTGTGTTGGATTATACACTGGCGATCATAAGTAGTGCAACAAAAAAAAATTTTTACTTAGATCGCATTATTTCCCGCAATTCTGGGTGT